CAGGCAGAGCCCCCCCGTCTGCTTGGGGGGGCACACGGACCCCCGTGCCCAGCACAGCCACCAGCTGCCCATCCCCCTGCCCGGTGGTGCCCACAACTCCTGCCTAAGTGGTCACCATCAGGGGGACCTGCTGGTGACAGTGTTCCTGTGTGGGCTGCCAGCACAAGCTACCACCCCATTCCTTCCAGCCCAGCACCTGATCCCCAAATCCCCTCTCTGCCCTGGGCTCCGCTGCCTGTCCCTGCCCGGCCACCTCCCCCCCCCCTGTCCCAAAACACCCCCCATATGCAACCGTCTAGAGGCCGGGACAGCCCAGCCCCAGAATAAACCCACCAGTGACCATCCCAGTAAGAGGGGAGTCATTTGCTGGTTTTACTGGGACAGAAGCTATAAGCAGTCGGTTCCCAGCTGAGCAGTCCCACGTCCCACAGCTCAGTGTGGGGAACACGTGGGGACGGAGGCATTCCTTGCAGGACTGGGAGCTCCACTCCCCCCAGTACCCTCCACTGCGATGTCCCAAGCGGGTGGCCACAGGGACCCCCCCCGACCCCTTTACCTGCGTCCCGGTGCAGAGGGCAGTCAGGAGGGCAGCATCCGCACTGTGGCAGTGCCCGGAGGGAGCAGCCTCTTCTATCCGGGGTGTAACGGAGCCGGATTAGTGCGGGCAGAGGAGGATCCTTTACAGCAGCGGGAGCCGTCCCGCTTCGCCTTTCCCAGCACCTGTCACTGCTGGAGCCCGTTCAAAGGACACGCCACTCTTCCCTGTCCGCCGCAGGCCAGGGACGCGCAGACACGGTGCAAGGGACGGAGCCACAGGGAGGGCTGGCACCGGGCACCGCGGCACTCCAAAAACACCCCACGGGGGTGGCCTGGCCGAACTGGATGTGGTCCAAGGGGCCAAGTACTTCCTAGGTGCCCACAGGTGACACAAGGCGGCTACTGGCCAACCCACAGCAGCCGGTGACAGTGCTGGCCCCCGTGCCACTGAGCTGCGGACGGTTCTTCCCACCGGCACCAGCCCTTGGAGAGAGCAGCTCCAAAGGACCCTGCGCGCCATGAGCACCGTGGCGCATGAGGGCACTGCCAGCTCTGGCCACTGCTGCTGGTCCCCGAAGGAAAAGCGACAGCAGCCGTGAACCCGACCAGCGGCCGCAGCCTCCCCCGGGAACCAGTTAAGACTCCAATTTTCTGCGAAATGAACTGTTTCAGGAATCGGGGAGAGAAACAAAGGAGCTGTGGGCTTCTGCTAGAGGGGTCAGGCTGTGCACGGGTGCTGCACGG